CTCCATTCCTCCTTTTCTCCCTCCCACCTCCCTTTCTGACCTCCCAGGTTCAAGCAATCCTCCCACCTCAGCCTTTTGAGTAGCCGGAACCACAGAAGTGCACTACCACACCTGGCTAATTTTATTTTTTGTGTAGACAGGGTCTCTCTATGTAGCCCAGGCTAGTCTTGAACTCCTGGGCACAAGTAATCCTCCCACCTCAGCCTCACAAAGTGATGGGATTATAGGTGTGAGCCACCACGCCTGGCCCTTCCCCTTTCCCTTTTTCTTTATTGGCTGTTTTTCAAAGGTTAATGTAAGCTTTTTGCAAATTCACATGGTCTTCCCGACAGTTATAGGGCAAAGTAGTATCTACACCCTGGGAACACCTAGCAGATCTTTCTTAGAAGCCCCTAACGGTTGTTTATGGGCTTTGATTTTTTAAAAAACTCCTTTGGCCTTGCTTGTGACGCCTTGATGTGTTTTTTTCATCACCTTTGTATATATCAGTAAGCATTCTAGCACCCTCTCTGCTGGTACTTGGTGTCTTAGCCTGAAGCTCCCTTTGACGTTCCCTGGAGGTGGAAAGCACTCTTTTTATTTTGATGTCACCATTTTGTTTTTGCTTTGATGGCATTTGGGCCTGGAATATAGACCCTCTATTGGCACGGGAGCCTTTATATGCCTACAAGGCTCAAAGCCCTGCCTGTGCCCGCTGGACCTGTCTCATATCAGGAGGCTGACTATTTCTCCGTCTGTCCTGGGGAAGCCATAGAACCAGTGCAAAGGAGTTGGGGGGTAGTTGTTTATTATTACTGTTGTTGGGTGCCCTTCTCAATCATTGCCTTTCTAGATAGCCATTTGGATCACTGATTCTTCCTAAAATGTGAGAAGGCCCACACCCCTATGCATTTTATTGTTCCCAATTATTATATGTTTGTGTACATACGTACATATATATATATATATATATATTTTTTTTTTTTTTTAACCAAAGAAGAAAAAGAAACATCCCTTTGTATGCAATCCTTTTAACAAATTGTTTATTATTGTATCCAGGTAACAAGCATGGTAAGTATTTTCACCAAACTGAGTATTCTGTATTTTAGCTGTGCTTGGCAGACTTTTTTGGCTAGCTTTGTGTTATTAGCCTTGGCTTTCCTAGAAAAGATCTGTTTAGGAAAAGGAGAAACCACGTACCTGTAGCATCCCCTAGGCTCCTGGCTTTAGTACGAACCCATGTAGCCTTAGCCCCACGGCGGGGATACCTGAGAAAGCATGCGCCCCGCCAGCATGCTGCTTGGCCCTGTTACCCCACCCCCTGCTGCTTCTGAGCCTCCCCAACCAGGTGTCTGCAGGGCTTCCAGGCCTTGCATGACCCCAGCAGCTCCTGGGACCATGGCCCTGTGACAGCCAGGACACATAGATAGGGCTCCTCAAGCTCTGTGGACGGTCCTACCCCAGTCCACAGCTACATGTCTTCGCTCACCCCTCCTCCCATCCGTTTGCTTAAAAGCAGGTCCTTTATTTTTTTTTTTCTTCCTTAAATGTTTTAAGTAATTGGAGAAATCTCCTTCTGGAAGCTGAAAAGCTAAATAAACACATTGTCCACTCTTCTGAGAGGCTTCACATTCTGTTGGAAAATGGATTTAATCCCTACAAAAAAGCGTTGCCCCATTGGGTCTTCCCAGTAAATGTTGAGAGGTACGGTAGGTTGAGTGTGGTTTAGCCTTCTGGCTGTGTTATTTATCCATGCATGTTTGCTTTTTTGGCCTATTTTGTGGCTCTGTATTTTAGTCCATGTGCTCGTGGCTGTGCCTGTGTAACCTGCCTGGTAGCCATGCGTTATGTATTAAGTCGGTGTGTCACTGTCACCTTCAAGGATCAGACTGCAAAGGATAAGGCCCTTCAGCACATGGCAGCCATGTCCTCAGCCCAGATCGTCTCGGCCACTGCCATTCACAACAAGCTGGGGCTGCCTGGGATTCCACGCCCGACCTTCCCAGGGGCGCCAGGGGTAAGTCATGAGCTCAGTCCAGTAATGACAGCTGCTGGAGTTGGGGTTGGCATGGGCCAGTGTTAAGCCTCCCACCTCCATTTCTTGTCACGTGGGTCAGGTATGTGAGAGGGCAAAGGCTACCTTGTCAACTGATAACTCAGTCTAAGTGGTGAAAGTAAGGAGGGAAGGGAGGCAGAGAGCTAGAGAGAAAGAGAGGGATAGGAGAAGGAGGAGGAGGAGAAGAAGAAAAGAAAAAATGAAAAGGAAGAGGGAGAAAATCAGAAGAGGAAGGAATTCTGAGTCCCTGAAGACATGGAATTAAATGTGCCTTTCTGGGTTGGGCTCAGGCCTCTTCTCTCTTTATCTTTTTCCTGGCCCTTGGTCTCTGTCCCTCTGTCTTCAGGGGCAGCTAGCCCCTAAAGGGACAAGGTATTCTATTAACATTTACAATTTTGACACCTACCAAAGGCTGAGAAGCATAGCATTATGTTGTAATCTCAATCCTCCAGGTAATCTTAAATGCTTCTTATTGTCATTGCCATTTTGCAGATGAAAAAGCTGAGGTTATTCAGTAGCAAAACAAGAGTTTGGATAGCTGGGATCCTAGTGGAATGGATAGTGATGTCAAGAATCAGCCCCAGGGCTGCTTGACTCCGGAGGCTGCTCTTTCCCTCCTCTATGTCATGCTGCATCTCCAGCGCACAGCAATCGCTGCAGGGAAGCTCTCTGCGGAGATGCTGCCTGCATTGCCTCTTGGAGCTCCTGGCCTTGTTCAAGCTTTGTCCTCTGCCTTGCTGGGCCTTCAGTGCTATTGAGGCAGAATATTATGCAGGGAATGTTTCAGAATGGAGGGAGGGTACATGGATAAATCAATCAGTTAAAATATTTGTAAGCACCCTGCAGCACACCCAGATCTTTGCTTAGGTGTAAGGAAAACACTGAGGAGCTGCTGCCTGCCTCTGCCCTTGGGGGGATTTTCAGGAAGGAGGAGCTAGAGGGAGCTCTGGGTTGCCAGGCCAAGAATATAGGTTGTGGTCTTGTGCAAGTGGTGACTGCATTTGCACTCTGGCAAGGCGATTCTGTTGGGTGATCAAACCTGCTGTCTTTTAGCAGGGGTTGCGATGCGTAGGCATCCTAAACTGTGCTTTGAAGTAAACTCGTAAGTCTGAGGCCTCTGCGTTTTGCCTTCCAGTTCTGGCCGGGAATGATTCAAACAGGGCAGCCAGGATCCTCACAAGAGTAAGTCTTGAGGGGTGGGCACTGACAACTAGGGGCTGGTCCCAGTTCACCTGGGGAGAGCTTTTCCTGGGCCATACTGTCTCAGGGCCTGAAGGAGAAAGGAGCATTATACTGAAGTCCCAGAAGGCATCCCCTCCTTATTGTCTACTGAGGCCCCTAGCAGAAAAGAGACTGGCTTTTCAGATCTGGGAGAGGTGGAAGCACCTCACTGCCACCTTAAGTATTAGCAGTCGTCCAGCTGGAATCAAGAAGTGAACCCCTCTTCCTTCATGGTATTGAAGGCTGAGCTGTGGTCTTCCTTGCTGAGAAAGGGCGGCACAGGTATTCCTCTAGCCCGTTTCATTCTGGCTGGCCCTGTGGTAGGGTGGCTAGTAGACAAATCCTACTGATGCCTTGAGGGCAAGAAAAGAAAGATCAGTAAACTGGAAAATAAGGGCTATTTTGGGATAAAAGAAAGGAAATCCTGCCTGTATGCTGTAAAAAACCTTGCACTGTTTGGCCTAGAGAAGGAGAGCCTGAAGCATGTCCCACACTTTGCCTAGAAGCGGTGACTGCTTGACCTCAGAGGTTCAAAGGCAGATGTCACAGCACAAGGAATTAAGGCTGTCTTTCCAGCGTGTCCCACTGAACTGGCATGAGGCTTGGTGGTTTGATCCCTAGCTGGCTGCTGGTCTCTGTTGGTTTATGGAACAACTGCCTCTGCCTGGGCAAAGGCAGAGGCTACCACCTGCAGGCAGGGACCACAGCAGTGAAGGACCTCCCACTGGGAGGTCATGGTGGGACCTGGATAATAGCCGCTGCTGCAGATGTGATCTCTGACTCTGTCTGCCATCTCTCTGTTCCCAGCGTCAAGCCTTTTGTGCAGCAGGCCTACCCCATCCAGCCAGCAGTCACAGCCCCCATTCCAGGTGAGTCTCCCTGAAACTCCCTTTTGGGAGCACAGCCCCACACAGCTGACAGCTGGGTCTGGCACTTTGTTCCCTGAGTCAAGAGATGCTCAACTTTGCCACAGCTGCACATTGCCCTTGACTTGCAGGATCCTTGGGTAGCCTGGAGCTCAGGAGGGCCACAGGGGTGACCTCTGCCAGGTCCCGATTCCCTTCAGTCATCTCCCAAGAGCTTTTCAGATGGTATAAGAAACAGGAAGCCTCATCGTGATTATCCTCAGAAGGTGAAGTTGCTGCAGCATATTCCTCAATAAAAACTGACCAAATTAGGTAGTCTAAGTCTTGAGGGTAGATAGGGTTTCATTCACCCTTTCTTAGATAAGTAGATTTTGGTGCCGCTACCTTTCTTCAAAGGAGAGAGTACATGGAAGCTCAAAGTGGAAAGCATGAATCTGTCCAGCCTACCTGTCTCCTTCCCCACAAAGCGTACCCCCAATCCCCCCGTATGCATGTAAAAAACCTTGCACTGTTTGGCCTAGAGAAGGAGAGCCTGAAGCATGTCCCACACTTTGCCTAGAAGTGGTGACTGCTTGACCTCAGAGGTTCAAAGGTAGATGTCACAGCACAAGGAATTGAGGCTGTCTTTGCAGCGTGTCCCACTGAACTGGCACGAGGCTTGGTGGAATTACTCCTTTGCACTACTCGAGGTATACAGTATAAAAGTCACTGCTCTGCCTTACGGATTCCCCAAACTGAAAATGCTTTCACATATTGCCCTGTTCCCCAGTACCATGGAGCATTCAGAGAGAATATTCTGTAGTGCTAGTGACCACAGTCTTCAGGAAGATGGACAAACACAAGAAGTGCGCAGCATGTCCAGGTCTTACAGGAAGTCTTTGGAAGCATTCACTTCTCATTATCCCGTCATTCTTGGCTTGGTCCCCAAGTAGACCCCTCGGTCCAGGATGGATGTCCTCATGCTGCAGCCCTTAACTTTAGCTGAAGTGGGCTTAATGAGGAACACGTGCTTTGTGCTTATCTGACTGTTCACCATCACTGGGGTCCTCAGCCAGCATCTATCATCACCTGAGTTCTCCCCACCAGACCTGGTGGAGAGGGGGCTGATGGCGTTTCCTTCTGGGTCATCTGTAGAGCCCTATTCCAGTATTTGCCTGAGGCCCAAGGGGAGGTGAGTGACCACCATCAAAAGTGACAATTGCTCTTTCAGGGTTTGAGCCTGCATCAGCCCCAGCTCCCTCGGTCCCTGCCTGGCAAGGTCGCTCCATTGGCACAACCAAGCTTCGCCTGGTGGAATTTTCAGCTTTTCTCGAGCAGCAGCGAGACCCAGACTCGGTGAGTGTGCCCAGAGAGGTGTGTCTTGAATCCAGGATTTCTTTCCTTTTACTGTTCACCTTCTTGCTTCTCTTTCTTTCCTCCTTTACCGCTGCTCCATGCCTGACAAATATCCTGTGTGAAAACAGGCCTAGTAAAGAATAGCCTTTTGATTAAGTAAAAAGGGATTCCTATTGGCAGATTTGTAGAAAACAGCAGAGCTAGAGGTGTATAATTGTCCTGGACCCCAAGGTGCTGTAGGGAATATTTGAGTCAGAGAGCGGGACATTTGCAAGCTCTTATGTTTTGTAAAATTTAACAAGAAGTAACATTTATTGAGCCTTGCCGTATGCCTGGTCCCATGCAGAGTTATTTAGATATATGATCACAATTCATCCTCATAAAAACCCTAGGAAGCTAGGTACTGACTGACAGATAAGGAAACAGTGTAACTTTCCCAAAGTCACACAGTTTATTTAGATATGTGATCACAATTCATCCTCATAAAAACCCTAGGAAGCTAGGTACTGACTGACAAATAAGGAAACAGTATAACTTTCCCAAAGTCACACAGTTAATCTCTGATGGATTAGAGATTCAAGCTCACGTCCTGAAAACTCTAAAGCCTAAACATTTAGCTGTTATTCCATACTCTCTTTCCAACTCTGTTTTCTCAAGATAGCAAGTTGTTCTCTAAGTGGCCAGCACTTTGGGAGGCTGAGGCGGGCAGATCACAAGGTCAGGAGATCAAGACCATCTTGACCAAAATGGTGAAACCCCGTCTCTACTAAAAATACATGGCCATGCTCATGTAGTCCCAGCTACTCGGGAGGCCGAGGCAGGATAATTGGTTGAACCCGGGAGGCGGAGGTTGTGGTGAGCCAAGATCACGCCACTGCACTCCAGCCTGGCAACAGAGCAAGACTCCATCTCAGAAAAATAAAAAAAAGAAGCAGTAACAAAATAGCACTTTAACAGTTTGCCATAGAGTGCAGCGCATTATAATATCATAAATACCAGTAACATTGGCATCTGGACTCTATTTGTCACTTTCTTCTTTCCTACCTCCCCCACCCCTATCTTGTACCCATCGTCCCATTGTTTCTCAGCCAGGCATTTCCCATACATATGTGATCCTCCCTTCTTCCCCACCCAACAAGCCCCGTACCCTTTCTTCACACCCACTCCTTGGCTGTGAGTATGAGCATTGCATCTGTGTGTGGGTGAGCCCAATCCTTAGTTTGTCTCTGAGATCCTCACCAACTCACCACATTCTCTATCTCACCCCATCCTTCCCATCTCTTAAGTCCCAGGCTCTCTGTGTGTTGTCTGGCTTACTGTCATTTCTATTATCGGGAGAAAGTGTCAGGAATGAGTTAAGAGCCTGTGGTAGATAACTGAGATGCTGAACAACTGGAGGTGACCTCTCACGGGAGTGTGTGCACTTCAGCTTGAGGAAAGGCCTCCCGTGGGGCAGAGGGGCTTGACCAGCCATCACCAGAGTGGAGAACCCATATGTGGCCCACTGATGTCTTTGTCCACAAATTGTGAACTTTGGGAGCTAGTGGAAAAATAGAGCTGCTTCCAAATTAGGGGGAAAAAATGAGGGAAGGAATGTAAATTGGGCCCATCAGGACAGTTACAAGCAAATGGGGCTATTGGGACCAGGAAGGAGAAGTGAAGGCCAATTGGATGATTCCTTCCAAGCAGCTGAGTGGCTAACAGGAAGAGTGATGGTGAGGGTTCCATCCATCTAAGTGGAAGGCATTAAGACAGACTGAAAGATGCCCTGTGTTACTCTGTACTGCTGGTTCTTTCTGGGAAGCTGACTTAGTTCTTTGGTTGAAGGCTGGGCTTTGGCCCAGATAGTGCTTCTGCCTCTTGTAACTCATGTTTCCATGACACTTTGTTGTTTACGGAGTACTTTGTGGTTGAGTATTTCATTCCGTCCTCATAGTATCCCATCAGATAGGTTCTGTTTTTCCTGTGATAGGTTCTGTTTCCCCATTTTATGGATAAAGAAACTGAGGCCCAGACATACTAAATGACTTACTCAAGATATCTAGTCAGTAAACAGAGGGTACCAGGAGCCCAAATCTTGTATTTCAATGCCCCTTTTTCACTATCGTAAAAGACCACCTCCCAATTTTGAGGGTCTCTTGAATTGTCTTTTCAGTCTGAATATCTCCTGTGTGAGCAAATTTCTCTTTGCATATGACCGTTTTTTTTTTAGGAAACAGCTCCAAGGCACTGGAAGGCAGAAGTCCCCACGTAATTTTTGCTTCCCTGGTTAAAATACTGTGGAATCATTTATAAAAATTCTCTCTTTTTAAAAGAAATTAAAATATTGTAGTAGCTCCCTCATTGTTAACTGTACTCTCCAGTTATGAACCTCTTAGGGCCCAGAAGGCTTGATTGCCTTTTTTTGTTGTATTTGTTGGGCTAAATATTTTGAATCATTCAGACCATTCTACAAACATTCATGTGCAAGAAGCTGCACAGGAGAGGGGCTCATTGCTACCCAGACAGCCACAGCCTCAGCCCCTGGGGAGTAGAATGCCTAGTAGGGGAGACAGACACGAAACAGATGATTATCTGAGAGATCATTGCAACGTGCTGTGACTTCTAGGAAGGAAGAATACTGAATGCTGTAAGTAACAGGAAACAGGGCAAGCTTCCTTGAGGAAGTAGCCCTTAAGCTGAGAGATGGAGGATTGGACAGAGAGAGAATAAGGGAGCAGAATATTCCAGAGGTGATGAAGCTGAAGTGTATGTGGCAGTATATTAAATCGGTGACTATTGTAGGTAAGTCTGGACCCACTAAGTCACTAGAGTAGAGGTCAGAGATACGTGTTTTAGGTACATTCAGAATACACATAATAATCTGAATGGGTGAACTGGATCTGGCCTGCTGTTGAATAAAAAAGCTTGACTTATATAGACTCCAACGCGTGACTTAAAAGGCCCTGAAATGGGCCGGGCGCGGTGGCTCAAGCCTGTAATCCCAGCACTTTGGGAGGCCGAGGCGGGTGGATCACGAGGTCAGGAGATCGAGACTATCCTGGCTAACATGGTGAAACCCCGTCTCTACTAAAAATACAAAAAACTAGCCGGGTGTGGTGGCGGGCGCCTGTAGTCTCAGCTACTTGGGAGGCTGAGGCGGGAGAATGGCATGAACCCGGGAGGCGGAGCTTGCAGTGAGCCGAGATCACGCCACTGCACTCCAGCCTGGGAGCACAGCGAGACTCCGTCTCAAAAAAAATAAATAAATAAATAAAAAGGCCCTGAAATGAAGGAAGGCCTGGTGTAACACCCTTGGGCCCTTTGAGAAAGATAGTTATATTTTAGGGGATATGAATTGGGGACTGAGATAAATTAGAATTTATTTAACAAGTACTTTTTGAGCACCGACTGCATGCCAGCCACTGTTTCAGGTGTTAGAAATTCGGTAGTGAACAAAACAAAGTTCCTTTTTCTCATGGAGCCCACCCTTGGGTGGAGAACACAAGAACTACCCAAGCAAATAAATACTCAGTATGTCAGGGGATGCTAACTGCTTATGTGGAATAATGGTCCTTTGTCACAACTGATTTTTTTTTTTTTTTTTTTTTTTGAGATAGGGTCTTACTGTGTTCCCCAGGCTGGCCTCAAACTCCTGAGCTGAAGTGATCCTCATGCCTCAGGCTCCCGAGTAGCTGGGACTACAGTTATGCACTGCCATGCCCCAGCCTTCTTCACAATTGAAAGTTACTTGCTTTTTGGATTAAAAGTGTATAATTTCAGAAAATAATACCTCCAATAGATATGTTGATGTTTCTGGCTTGTATTATGTACTAAGTGATGTGCATTAGACATTACCAACCAGAGCTCTATCACTGCTGTGAAATTATTTTGCCTAACCTCAGTCGCTATTGTTGGTGTTGCTTCTGATATTCCTATGTTACAAACACTCATTCTGCAGTTGAACACAAGTGATTTAATGTGTGCAAATGAATATGGCAGATTGTGAATAGGATCTATATTTGATTTTAGTGGACATGTGAGGGCCCGAAGGTTGGTTCTTGTGCTAGAGGGAAAAAGTGGTGGCTGACCAGTTGAAATGATGGAGAATTAATAAAATTATTTAAAGCATTTGACAGTATCTTAAGTACCAGCCTCTCAAGTTAAATACTGTGTGCTTTGTTGGACAAACACAAGGTGCTATTACAATCAAGGTATAATGGTACTTCAGGGCTAAGGTTACGCTGAAAAATTTGTATCATGTAGATAGTTTCTTTGGCTCTTAGAGTTTTTGTGACTTCTCAGACTTTAATTTTGCTATATTTTTACTCCAACAACAGAAACATTAAGGCCATCTAAAATAAACTCAGCTGATACATTTTAACAAATTTGGGCATACAGTACTTAAAATTTAACATCCAACATTAACCACATTAATTTGATAAGGAAGCAAACAAAGTGACCAATAATTAAAGGGCCCTAAACAAGTTAAACTTTGCATTTGGATTCTCTAGATCTTTGTTACAGACAGACATGTACATAGGTTTCCCCCTACTTCCATGTAATGGCTTAGGCTCATTAGACCCAAGGGGTTATAAAGTATTTTTAGTAGAGAAGAGAACTGATAGGTATTGCTGGCAAAGAAAGAAACTATGTAGCCAGGTTCCATGCTATTTGTCATTAGTGACTTTTTTCATGTTTACTGAGCTCTGTGAGGTAGGTTATTCTATTCCTTTCTACGGAAGAGGCTTAGAGAGATGCTGCCTTATAATAGCCAGCTTTGCACCCCAGCCTGCCTGTACCATCTCTTAAGAGAAAATAAGACATGATTGCTGGCCGGGTGCGATGGCTTATGCCTGTAATCCCAGCACTTTGGGAGGTCAAGGTGGGTGGATCACTTGAGGTCAGAAGTTTAAGACCAGCCTGGCCAACATGGTGAAACCCTATCTCTACTAAAAATACAAAAATTGGCTGGGCATGGTGGAGGGTACCTATAATCCCAGCTACTCGGGAGTCTGAGG